ATATAGCCTACAATGGGACAAAAAAAATATTTTCCCACTGATTGTGCAAGTTATCCTGCTTAGAAATGTGAGAAATCATTGATTGTAATCATAGGTACACTCCAAAATGAAAAAAGAAATGAGCGCTAAAAAAAATCCAAGAAATCCCATTGTAAGATTTTTTTCAAAGAATGCATTTGTAAATTGTGGGGGAAAATACTATAGTTATTTGGTCGCCTCAAACACAAACATGAAGATTTCTGGCTCACAGACCTGTAACTTCCTCTTTATTTAGCTCTTCTGTCCTCTACTCGTTATCTATGTTCATTACACCTGTACGAATTCATTATCTGTCTAAAAGGCACCTGTCCATAGCCTCAAACGGTCGAACTCCAAATTCAACCGTGGGAGTTAAAAGTCCATGTTTCCCAGCTAGGGTTATGGACACAAACCCTGGAGGAGATCCTCCTCTAACAGATTTTATAAGCAAAAAAAACATTACTAGAATAAACACTAGAGCTTTAACCAGAGGAGACTGTAATGTTCAGCGGCGTAGGACCAAATTTGGCCAAATGGTTGCATCCATCAGAGGCTCACAGTTATGGAACACACTGCCAGCTCATGTTAGGGGCTGTGTAACCTACATACGTTTTAAATTCTCCTTGAAACATTGGTTGAAAACTAACCAGACATGTGTTCACAGGTACATTGATCTGTTTCCATGGGCCTGTTAACCTCATTTTATTGTTAATCTAATTTTATTGGGATTTTATGTTATCGGCATCTTATCTGTTTGTGTCCACTCTGTTCTCTCCTGTAGCGTCTTGTTTAATGTTCACTGTTTTTACCTGCTATAGGACAGCGGATGCAAATTAGCTGTTGTGCTAATGCTGGCATATTTACATTGATGTTTTATGCTGACATGTTGATGAATGTACATTGTCCTAATTCAAATAAATAAAATAAATAAGCCAAAATAGCAGCTACAGTGAGGGAAAACTTGGTGAACACTTACAGGACATGTTAGACCTCTATCATTGCTAACAAAGTTTGTTGAATCAATTCTGTATTTCGCCTGCAGACAGTATATATATATATATATATCTATATATATATATAGATATATATCTCATATCTGTAGAGAGGTACAAATGTTTTTTAGAGGGATAGCAGGTTCAAACAGGTGTCATTGATGCAGGTGACGAGTTGAGGACATAAGAGCTTCTTAAAGACCTGTTAGGTCGGTGGGGGACAGACATCTTCAGTGTTTGTGGGTCACCAACTACTTTTTTCCACTATAATTTGCAAATACATTTTCTAAAAATAGGATTTTTCTGTTTTTGTCTCTTATGGTTAAACTTAACCCTATAATGAAATTTACTAACCTCTCACATCTTTCTAGGAAGCAGAACCAGCGCAATGTCTCCTTAAACAAGTACTTATTGAACCACCGCATATATAAAACTATACTTGCTCAGGAAACCGTTAAATAAACTTCCTTTATAAGTGGAGTTTGCTGGACTTCTTATCTTATTAAATCTTTATTTGTTTAGACACAATATAATTTCAAGGCTTTATAAACATTTGGTTTTATTAGAAATACAATTTATTGAACTGAAAGAGCTTGGATTTTTGTCCTGAACAAAAGTTTACATACAGTAGTGGAAAAAACAAAGAAAAATACAGTAACAATAACTCTTCACTTAAAAGGAAATCTGAAAAATCTTCTTATTCAAGTACAAAAATGTAATACTGTAAGGTGTTCGGCATTACATCATCTCCTACACTCATACAGTCATAAATCACCCACTGAGATGCAGTATTGAGAAATCACTTATGAAGTTACTCACAATTCCTCATCTGCTCTCAGCAAGGTTAAAACGAAAATAGTTTCAATATAAATATTTCCCTGAGTTCTTGTAATTTATTAAATAATAGTGTTGATTCTTTAGATGTTTTTACCAACCACTCTGTGAGTGTGTTGGTTTTAATGCTATATGGAACCTAATCTATTGTTTGACATGTAATCAACCCACTGGAAATGGAAAACCAAAAGAAGAATCTTACTAAGGTCAGTAGATGCATGACCTAAATGCCAAATATTTCCTCTCACATAATTAACTGCAAACAGATTAGTGTGCAGAAATGCACCGATTAAAAAAAAACAAACACAAAAAATAAAACTGATAATTTTGAAAAAGTTTCCTAAGGCAAAAAAAGTAAAGCAATTTTTAAAATACTTTACTGTTAATTAAGCTGTGTGCCTTCTATTTCTTAGCCAGTACAAAATTACATTGTTTTTGGAGCTTGAACTGTAGAAAACGAGTCAATAAAAACAGTAGAGAATCATAATAATACTGACACACAGAAAAGGTAAAAGAAATGCAGCTTCACTAATGTAAATAATGTGACATTAGCTTGCAAAACTACAAACTGCTAAACGTTAATCACACTTTAAACAGGCCAACAAAAAGTAAAAAAAGTCTCAATTTGGTTAAATGTAGCCAAAAGTGACCCACAGCTCCCGCAACAATTAGTCTCACTTAAGCAACAATAATAACGTTCTCAATTTAAATCAGAAAAACATTTTTTTCTTTAAAAAAAAAGTCAAAAATATTAGATCCAAAATGTCTAGAGGTACAGAAATGAAAGAAAATAGACATATATATATAATGTGTGTATATATGTATATACATGTACCAAGTTTTCTGCTCTAGTCCATCTATGTCTTGTTCCAGTAGCCAATTTGTCATCAAGTTGCCCTGGTTCCCTAGCAACTGACGCGGACCTTGTTAACCCGGGCAACGTCCGAGCCAGTATGGCTCTTGTATTTGCGGTATCACTCATGCCTGAGGTAGGCCACAAAGGACTAAGGGTCCACCTGGATGTCCATGCCGGGAATCGAACCCCGGTCACCTGTGCCAGAGTCGTCGGTGTTACCTACTGATAATCTATCCAGTTGCCCTACCAGTCATCAGATACCCCGCTGCTATAATAAACTAGGCCACTGACATCAAGACAAGAAAGCTCCTCACAATGCATGGAGGGTTCCACCCCAAATCCAGCACCCTGAGACTGTATACCAAGCGTAGCGAGGGAGGCCGAGGGCTAGTGAGTGTCAAGACCACTGTCCAGGATGAAACAACTAAGACCCAGGAGTACATCAGAAAGATGGCCCCCAAAGACAAATGGCTTGGTGAATACCTCAGGCAGGAGAAAACCGAAAGCAAGGACAAGAAAGAGGAAGGAGAACCCTCATGGAGGGACAAGCCACTGCACGGCATATACCACAGACAAATAGAAGAAGTGGCTGATATCAAAAAATCCTACCAGTGGCTGGAAAAGGCTGGACTGAAGGACAGCACAGAGGCACTAATCATGGCAGCACAAGAACAGGCACTCAGTACAAGATCAATAGAGGCCAGGGTCTACCACACCAGGCAGGACCCCCGATGCAGACTGTGCAAAGATGCCTCTGAAACAATACAGCACATAACAGCAGGGTGTAAAATGCAGGCAGGAAGTGCATACATGGAACGCCACAACCAGGTAGCTTTAATAGTGTACAGGAACAACTCAGGCCTTTTCAGTTCTTATTAGCCTTGTGATACAGCTGAGAAAGGGCTTTTTCTCTGCTTAGCGTTTTTCAGATTCAAGCCAAAAAAAGAAAAATAAAACATGTTGAACATAAGACAGCAGTTATGCCCAAAATTTATAACGGTACAGCGCACTCAACACTTAAAATCTCTGCTCTTTAAGCTGTGCTTTTGCAGAAATGCGTCTTTCATTTGTTCCAGCTCACAAGAGGTGATAGTAAACATTTCTACCAAAAGGAATCCATAAATTATATCCAAAGCAAGTATCCCATTTACTGTATTTTTGGATAAAAACCCAGATGAAAAGGTACATAGATCTTGGAATATTTCTCTCTCATAAAGTTTTTGTTTTTATCTATTTGCATATTTCTAAATTTTAGTTTATATATTCCTGAAATCTATGTCCAGATTGTCATGGCACTATAAGGCAATAATGTAGGTTCTCTGTGTAATGTCTTATATTAGACCACTATGAATTTAAATCCACTTTGACCCCTGAGCAGTGGTAACAAGGGGCGAACTCTTAGAAAGAACAATGTTTTTTGTTCTTTGCTTTTTTGGAGTAAGGAAGATCAATTGATCTGTGTGTAATGCATAATTCATATCAGATAAGGGGGGGATTTGCTTTTGGATGGAAACCCTGTATGTCTAAAACTATTCCTTTATTGTACATTTTGTTATCTTGTCTGTCTGCTATTATAACCAATATGATATGTTGAACTAGATCAGGGGTCTGCAACCTGCGGCTCCGGAGCCACATATGGCTCTTTGGACCCTCTCCAGCAGCTCTTAATAGTGGCTAAAATGTATATAAAGAGCTAAATAATTTATTATAATATATACTGGTATCAATAGCTTTAGGGTTTTTTATAAGATGTAAAAGAATGAGATTAAAAGAACCAGAAATATGTTTTAGGAGACATTTTTCTATGAGTTAGCTTGAAAATTATATGTTTTAACATTAAGAATATATGAATTGATTGTTTGAGATGGCAACAACTAATTTCCTATACAAGATTTAGAAAAAAAAAGGGTTTTTAGAAAAAGTCATGGTATATTTTGCGGCTCTAAACAACTTTTATTTGGTCGTACTCTCGGCAAAATAGCTCTTTGGATATGAAAGGTTGCAGACCCCTGAACTAGATCTTCTATTTTCACAGCTTTTGTGAGATACTGTTGTATAAAGTACGGAATTAATTCATTAAAAAGTTTCTTTTAATTCTAGAAATCCGCCCTACAGCAATGATGAACTGCACGGCAGCATTCTATACCCAGCTATTGTAGTATCTAGGCAAGAGCTGTCAGTCTAGTGAAGAATCTATCTTATTGTTATTCAAAATTTAAAAAGTTAGCTGTTTTATGAAGAGGAACATAAAAACAAAACAAAAAAACTAAAAAATATCACATTTTGTTGTGAAGTAGAAAACTAAGATTAAATCTAAGATGGCTGTCAAAAACGACACTTTAGACAAGCTTCTAAGTATAAGGTGAAAAACAGTTTCCGTTAGGTAATCAGAGCTGGTGTGATCTGTGTGTCTGCTATCCTAGGTCGGTTTAAAGGCTTAGTATATATAACCAGTCTCTAAATGTATATCCTAAGACGCATCATAAACACCATTACTAAGAACTGTTTTAACTCATGGAGGCTGACATGTCTAGTTCACACCATTTAGCTATAGAGGGTGTAGAGGCACATGCCACAGAGACACTCACTCCTCTGAAGGTGATCTCATTAAAAATGCCAGGTGAGGCAGAGGGTGGAACAGAGAGATGGAATTTCCACCCCATTGCCTCACAAAAATCAAATTAGTTTTGTGATTGAACTGTTTTACGCAGGACTGACGGAGTTCCCACTCCTAAAAAAAGAAGCAGAAACCTTAATTAGAGTAAATTCAGTTGATCTGAATTAGACAGTCACTGTATGCATACCTTTGGGTAGTTTGTGCAGATTTTGATCTTCATCTACCTTTGAGTTCGAGCTATACAGTACAAAACCACCACAACCAATAAAAGTCCAAAGACTGAAATCAATATTCCCCATTGGCCTCGGTTGCTTTTTCTTAAAGGGTCTTCAGCATCTGCATGTAGAAAAAGCATTATTTCTTCAAGTAGAAATAGGTCTAGGACAACCTAGATCAAATATATATTTAATTATAAAGATTTAATTAAAGACATAGATAAATGATTAGCTTGATATTGTCTCTGCTGAAACTAGTCATTGTGAAACCTTATTGAGTGAGCAGTCAAAAAATGAGTCTAACTAGCATTATGTTTTTCTACATATAAAGGTGGCTCGGCCTCCCGCACAATGAAGTCAAAATATTTCCCTAACTTCTGAATGTGAAACCATTACATCACTCAACATCATCCACTGGTTAGTCTTTGCTTTAAACTCTGCTTTTAAATGGCAAGAAGTTTATTCCCTCTCAAAATCTTTAACATAAGTAAACGTAAACCGGACATTAATATCCATTATACGACTTTAAAAAATCAGCAAGTAAAAACTTAAACAGCTGAGAAGTTTCTTAGGAGGTAAAAGAGACATTATGCCAATGGAACGAGACAATTTACCTTTAAAATAAGAAAACACAATTGCATTGTCTTATTTCAAGTGCATTTTATCTAAATATCTTATTTAAATATAAATATAAATATCATTCCATTGGCAGATCATCTTATTCAAATATTCAAATTAAGGGTAAATACACTTAATTTAAGAATGTTTGTATTTATTTCTATATCGTTTTTCCAGTGCAACAAGGATCAGGTGGCTTGTCATGATTTCATGAAAAACCAGCATTTACATAAGGAATAAAACTCAGTTTTCTAATTGTTATCAACAAACTCCCATTTCTAGCATTTGTTTGTGCTCACAAATCCTAGATATTGATGTTGCGCAGTCGTGCATGTCCACATTTTTAGTTTTTTTCATATATACACTGTTCTCTTGTAAATAATTACTTTATGCACATTTTTTACACTTTTTAATCTACTTGCACATTTCATTTAATCTGATAAACGTTTATTTTTTATTGTCTGTACATTTTCCTTTAATTGCTTTATGTCCTCTATTTAGCACGGCTCAAACAACATTGGATGTTTTAAATAATTTTCACACATCACCTAAGTCCTAAATCTAATATTGGAATAATTAAAAAAATCCACCATTTTACTTTTTTTTTTTAGCCATAAAAATTAAAAACTAAAAAGCTGTTGCTCTAATTTTTAGTGACAATGGTTTGTGTTGTCAAGTGTAAAAATGCGACCTTAAGGTTAGAAAAAATCTGTTTAATTAATAAAAACTTTGATTTAGGAGCCTAACAGGTTAAGAGAATTTGCATATGGTTTGTTCTATGGATATTTCTATTTCAAAATGAGAAACAAGGTATAATCCTTGGGTTATTTTGATCTTATTTTTCAAAATTTAAGTAGAAGAATGTAAAAAAAAAATCAGACAGCTTATCTCATAATTACAAGATCACTAAATATGTATCAAATAATCATAACTAAATAAATAGACAAGGTCTCGTAATTACAAAATAAGATCTGATAATTAAAAAAATACTGATCTAGTAATTATGAGATCTTATCTTGTAATTATGAAATCTTTTCTCCTTGCATTAGGAAAAGAAACTTTTTGAACAGCCGCTTCCCTACGACTTTAAGACTAAAGGAAGTCTGGGAACCAGTGGCATAGCTTGTATGAAGTTTCAAATGTAACATTAATCATCATTTAAAATGTGGCTGCTGCTGCAGAACATGACTTTGTAAAAAATAGGTTATTTCATGACTTCATTTGTATAATTTATTACACATGTGCCCTATTCTTGTGCCCTATTCTTCTGCTTCTTCCTTTGCTTCCTTCATTTCACCCTTTCAGAACATTTTTTCTTCTCTTTCAGGGCTCCTACAGAATAAGGCAAGTTAAATTCAAGACTTTTTAATGCCACTTGAATTAAAAATTTAAGACCAAATTCACAAGAAACACAAGAAAAACCTGCTTGCGACAACTTTACCCAAAGGTTTATTTTAATATAAACCACTGCACTAATGTTTCAAATTTTGAAAAGCTTCCCATACAGGAAGAAAGCTAAAAACACACAAATGACAGATATATTTTAACAATTATTTAACTGAATTAAGAACTTTGTTTTAGCAGGGAACAAAACAAATCAGTTTTAAAGCCACAACATAACCAGTGCTAAGTCTTTTATTCAGCTATTTTTCTTAGTATGTTTGATTTGGTGATAAGTGGAGGCGTGTTTCGCATGTGCGACTCCACTGCCTTAATTCCCATCGTTCTGAGCTTGAATGACTTCTTGCACAAAATCCACTGTGCCTCATGTATGTTCCCTGGTTTTAGCCATGGAGAAAACTTTTCATTACATTTACACTTGCTCATATTTTCCAGAGAAAAAGTTAATGGTGCATCTCCCAAATGTCCCGGCCGCAACAACGCTTTTATTGGTTCCGCTATCTGGAAGGAACCAATAATGGCGAGTCTTTTTTTTTTTTAATACAAAAAAAATTAAAAAATTGTCAATTTTAGTATTTTATTTAGATTACAAAAATAAATTGTAATACAAATAATCCTCCATATGATGTTTTAAAAATTAAGACCTACAAAAGACTGATTTAAGACATTTTAATACCAATTAAGGCCTTAGTTTTATTATGAAGAATTCAATGCCTTTTAAGGCTTTTTAAGGACCCACGGGAACCCTGTCTTTTCTCTCATTTCCTGATTTGTTTTGTAAGAAACTTCGTCTAGGAGGTAGATTGCGACACTTTGTGTTACGTAACAGTGACTATTTTGCAAGGGTTAAAAGGTGCTGAGATGCTTAAATCATCTGATTGTGCACCTGGGGGGAATCAGCATTTATGGGGGACCACTGCCCCCCTTGTGACTCCATCCCATTTATAACGTTATGCCAAAGGGTGTGTGAGCATATTTGGTTATAATCTGAATCAATCCTATTGGTGATTTTTATTTTTTTTTAACAAAAACTAGGAATTTGATGTTGGTTTTCTGTTGTTACAGCATAATCATTTCAAACATCACATGTAGAGTGCAGAGCAATGCCGAACTTTACATCCAGTGCATTGTAGATTTTCTTTATAGATTAAACCTTAAAACAGTGGGCTTTATTTGAGAGCAGCGGGACATCAAACATACAGCTAAGTCTTAGTTTCGAGTTTAAAATCTGCTGACCTGGAGTGGTAGGGTAGCCAGTGGTGTTGCTTGATGGATCATTTCCTGCAGTCGTAACATTCAGAACAAACTGTTCTGTAGGGAGAAAAAAGCAGCAGCAGTTTTCTATTATTTATTTCATAAATTTTTTTTATTATATAAAAAAAACAGTCTGAGTCTTGTGGTTTATTTTCACCTGTCATTTGAAGTCGCCACCGCCAAGCCTTGTCGTCATAGTCAGCATTCAGGTAACAGCAGTAGTGCCCAGAGTCTTCTACTTTGAGTCTGGACAGATGGAGTTTGATCTTTGCTTCTCTGGGAGAGTCTACGTCAAAATGAACCCGTCCTGCAAACTGCTCATCCGCAGACTTTTGAGAACCTCTTATTGTTTCGTATACAATCTTAACAGTGTCAGTGTACATTTCACACATCATGTTGATGAGAGTAAAATTAGTTTTCATCTCAATGCTCCATTTGATGGTGATGTTGTTGTTTTCTTTGGCTCTGTAGACCACTGAGCGGTCCATGACACACAACCCTTAAAGAAGACAAAGATTAAAGGTAGATTTCTAATGTATAAATGTAATATTTGGGACAGGCTAGAGATCTTTTTTCTTCTATTTCGACAATAAAGTCGTAACATTACTGGAATAAAGTTGTAATATTATGAGAATAAAGTTGTAATCTATTAAAGTTTTAACATTAAAGGAATAAAGTCGCAACATGACGAGAATAAAGTCGTAACATTATGAGAATAAAGTCGTAACATTACTGGAATAAAGTTGTAATATTATGAGAATAAAGTTGTAATTTATTAAAGTTTTAACATTAAAGGAATAAAGTCACAACATGACGAGAATAAAGTCGTAACATTATGAGAATAAAGTCGTAACATTACTGGAATAAAGTTGTAATATTATGAGAATAAAGTTGTAATTTATTAAAGTTTTAACATTAAAGGAATAAAGTCGCAACATGACGAGAATAAAGTCGTAACATTATGAGAATAAAGTCGTAACATTACTGGAATAAAGTTGTAATATTATGAGAATAAAGTTGTAATTTATTAGAACAAAGTTGCAACATTACGAGAATAAACTCGTATCATTACGAGAATAAAGTTATGATATTACGAGAATAAAGTCGCAACATCACGAGAATAAAGTTTTAACATTATAGGAATAAAGTCGCAACATGACAAGAATAAAGTTGCAACATTACGAGAATAAAGTCGTAACATTACAAAAATAAAGTTGTAATATTACAAGAATGGAGTCATCATACAACAACCAATGCCAAAGTATAACTTCATATGATGCTCGACATTCCTCATTTTAGGGAAGAAAGTGCTTTTTGTAAGAGTTGTCATAAAATACAACTTCTTTCTTATAATTTTAGGACTTTTAACTCTCAATATTCCGACTTTATTCACGTAATTTTATGACTATTCTCGTTGTGAATCTTTTTTCTTGTAATATTACGACTTTATTCTTGAAATGTTATGACTTTATTCTCGTAATTTTACGACTTTATTCTGCTAATGTTATGACTTTATTCTCAATTTTACGACTTTATTCTTGAAATGTTACAATTTTATTCTCTGAATTTTACGACTTTATTCTCATAATTTTACGACTATATTCTCATAATTTGACGAATTTTTCTCGTAATTTCAGGTCTTTATTCTCATAATTTTTTTTATGATTTTATTCTCGTTATGTTACGACTTTGTTCTCATAATAGAAGGGGAAAAAAAACTCTAGCCTGGCCCTAATACTCCATCATACTAATGGGACCTGCATAAGCTTTAAAATAAAGAATAATGAATTATTGAGAAAAAACTTACCGTAGAGACCACAGATGAAGATGAAGAAAATCAGCCTCCACTTCATGTTCTACAACAAGAGACAGTGTCATGTATTCATTCTTTACAAATTTAACATAAATGACTTACAAATAATGAATAGCATTCTGAGAATCACTTAAATCTGTGCATCGTGTTTTCATAGGATTTGACTGCATTTTTTACTATAAAAACAACTGAATGGAAAACGTTCTAATAATTAGAATATATATCAATAAACCCTATGAATGAATGGAGAACTTTGCATTTGCATTGAAATCAGCATTTATAAACAGATCAAGGTCTGATCTAATTATAACAACGAGAGCTTCAATCAGTCATTCGTCCACTTTTCAATATATTTGCAGTGTTTCGAAACTAAATTTCATAATCAGAGAGGCACTCAATTTTGATCACGTTGTGCCTGTGGTTAGAGCCCGTGTAAGAAGAAAATCACAGTTAAAATTTAAAAATAAATCAAAACATAAAAAAAATCTAAAAAAGTAGCATGGTTGATCAGTTATCTATGAGTAACACAAAACCACAACAGGCTGTGATGTGAGAAATATTCGTCAAACCTACACTACAGATCATCTAACAATATTAACATCAAAGATAATCTGAGTAAGTCTAAAATCCAGTAAATTACTAATTACATTCTTTATTACTGCGTCTGTTGGCCTTGCTAACAACCAGTGGCTGCAATAACTACCACAGCTACTTAAATTGCTGTGGAACATAGACTGACTGGTGGGCTTTGGATTATTGTTCTTCTGGATTACCAGAGTGTGACTGGCTGTGTCGATCCTATACACTACTGTTTATGCTCTAAAAACATTCTAAATGACTTCGTTTCGAGTAAATTCTGCATGCTACCCACTCAGGACACTTGGAATACATTGGAAGAGCAGTATGGAGGAATATTGACACATTTTTTGTGGACTTTTATGGACCTTTCTGCCTCGGGCACCGTAGACCTCCATTATTTGAATGTCAGCAGACAGCAAGAAGCCTCCCAGATCTCCAGATGCATTTGAGATATCAAAAAAGTACTCCAGAGTGTTGTTCAGCATGGGGGTGAGTAGAAAATGAAGGCTAATCATGTTTTGGGTGTACTATTCCTTTAACTCTACACACCTCGGTGGTTTTACTGTCAGACATATTCACACATCCTGGATTGACCAAATTATTTCCTGTGAGGGGCAGGATCTGCAGAAACAGGAACAGAAAAAGAGGTAAAAGACGATTAGGGGCTCCAGTTAAAAGAAAGCATTTGCTCTTCATAAGAGCAGAAAAACTTGAAAACTTTGTTTTAACACACCCATTGTAACATTCCAGTTCATGTCAGGATCATAAGCCTCACTGGCACAACATAGTTTCTTTAAGTGCACACTAAAACATTGGCTCTGCAAAGGGTAGAAAGAAAAGAAAAAACAGAAAGTTTTCCTGTTCAGAGCTCCTTCTGAGTTCAGTGAACTTGTGGCAATAAGACATGTCAAAATTAGATAAATAATCATCTGTTTTTGTTTCAGTGTGCCTAACAGACACTTCAGCGTTTTATAAAGGGAGGATCATCTATGCCAGAGTGGAGAGCGGAAAGAAGGATCAACTCCAGCACCAATAAAGCAATAAAAAACAATCATAAGCTAATAAAAGTCTTGAGTTCATTGTTTCTTAGCCAAATGCCATCATGGTTTTAGGTCCAGAGCCTGGTGGTGATTGGTCAAAAAAAGCTGTGTCTGTTTAAGCAGCAAAGGAGAACAACCTGACTCTGGGGAGATGATCAGAGCAACAGAAAAAAGTTATATTTGTTTTTCTTTGAAGAGGCATTACTGAGTTTTCTGCGTATACTTCTACCTGTGGCCAAAACACAGAACTCAAACAGTCTTAGAAATAATTACGTTTAAAAACTCCAAGTATTGGGGTACATTTTTTTATTTTAAATTTTTATTCTTTTCTTTTCCTTTTTTTTCCTCTGTGGGATTAACAAATTCGAATGAAATAATCAAATGCGGTTACTGTGGGATGTTTAGTGATATAAATCACAAATTTTTTAAATAACAGGTGTCCTAGAGAACCCTATTTCAAATTTGTACTTTTTTGATAGAAGTAATTGAGATTGTGGGTTTACGATTACTGTGGCAGTCACAGCTATTCAGTTACAGATGAAAGTAGAGGTAAGAGAGTATTTATTTAACCCTTTAAAGCCCGATCCACGAATAAAACAAAACAGAAAATTACTTTTTTTTGGTTTGAAGTCTTTATTTGGCCTTTTAACAAAATATGTAAAAAGAAAAAACAGAAATACATTTTTGATATTAATAATTTATTACTATGCGAAAAGTCAAGATTATTTTTTGTGTAGTCTTCTGCCCTCTGTTATCAGGTATATCTGATTGTGTACAATAGAATTTTGAGCAAAGTTTTTACCATTAAATTATGCAAAAGGTGTCAGACGCAAAACATTTCAGAAACCGTATGTATCAAATATGATACATTTGCCATTACAGGGTTAATCATCAACTTTGTCTTTATCACGATAGCGCCTCAATATGTGATTTTGAGTTTATTTCTCACATCCCTACTATGAATCATTAACAGTAATAGCTTTCTTAAAAGTACAGTGGAGGATATTCTTTTTCCGAGTGGATCATTAAAATAAGTGGTTCTCCTAATTGTAAATCATTCTGGTCATATTTTTCTGTGCATGTGCACTTTTCGGTGTATATGCGAGGTGGGCTACAGTTTCAGCCAATCATTGAAGCTCACCTTTCTTAACAGGGTGGGTCTTTGCATAGGAGAACAGCTTTGCTCCAACTATAAGCCCCGCCTCTAACCTTTTCCAGTTAACACATGCTTCTCCCAGTCCCTTTGCAAGTGATTACATGCACATCGATTAATAATAGTAATAAAAACATGCCTATCTAGGAGGATTACCGCCACTTATGAGTCCAGATTCAGTCCGAGGCCTGTCCCGCAAAGCTCTTTAACTTGAGCAGCCTAGTCCAGCTTTCCTCCTTTTTGGTCATTCATGCCTTTAATATTTCTCATTGCTTACTCCATTCTGACCCTTTTTGGCTTTTTTGCTGTAGGCCTATATTCAGTGTCAGCCACTTTCTCTTCGTTAGCTGCCGTGCTTCTCTGTTTATTGGTGAAAGCACTTAGAGAATACACCCGTCACTTTAAAGTCATGTAAAGTTAGAGGCCTGCACTAAAACTGCCTGGAATCATGCAAAAAATGAGTAATTTATTTTATAAAATGACATCTTCTGCCACACAATATACCATGTTAAAATCATTTTTTATTAAAGATTAAAATAAAATCAGGTACAGGGCCTTTAGGCATAAATACCTGCTGTGTGAATGTAGCCTGCTTCTGCTTGAAAAGTATGAGTACAACCAGTTCAGGCCTGTGTTCATTACTCCAACTGATCCAGACATGGTTCTGTGATACCATGGGCCACAGCAGCAGCTGGATCAAGTTAAAATAGCAGAATCTCCTAAATCTGAAATTAAAAGCTGTACTTTTAAAACACTTTTTGAAATGATATTCGTATTCCTGAGGTTGTAGATATCCCTGCAGCTCGAGATAAATAACAACATAGCTAATCAAAATAGAACATAAAGGAAACTAAAAAAAAGATCAATTTTAACCTCAAAGTTTTTTTTAAGCTACCAGCTGTTCTGAAATTTCCACCACACTGGAAAAATGATCTCGAAATAAGTAAAAGTGTCTTAAGTGTTTTTACCCTTAATTTGAGTAGGTAAATGATATATTTTGCCAATGGAATGAGTATTTTTACTCTTAAAATAAGATAATTAGATAATATGCACTTGAAATAAGACAATGCAATTGTGTTTTCTTATTTTAAGTGTAAATTGTCTTGTTCCGTTGGCAAAATGTCTCTTTTAAATCCTCAATCCAAGAACAAATGCACTTGTTTTAAGGAAAAATGACTTATCTAGATTTTTCCAGTGCACTTGGTTATTTCATAGACTGCAACATTTTCAAAGCTTTAAAAAAATTAACACGGGAAGTAAATGTTAGATAAGACACCTTTAAAAAAAACTTAACTTTAATCTACATACAAAAGTTAATTTAGATGCTCAGAACTACGAGCTCATATCAACAATGATGGTGAAATGAGGAAACATTCCCGTGCAAATGTTACATTTACAATATAATGCAAAAAGGAAACATTAAAAAAAACTATATGTAAGCTAAGAAATAATATTATTAACTTTAAACTCAGGGTTGGACTCACACTAAAGGACAACTGAATAAGCCACGTGCTTAAATTAAACAGGAACATGAATGCAGAAGATGTTTACGGGTGTCTTTAAAGAGATCGATCTGGGTTTTGTGCATGTTATTGATCCAAAGGCTATAGAAACATCAGTAAAAGAGGTGAAGAGTGAGGCTGGGTTCCTGTTCCTATTAAACATTTAGCCCAATAATCTGCAGTGGTCACTTGCAGAACACATAAAAACCTTTTAGAATAGAAGGGAATTCCAAATTCCAGTGAATAGGGGTAATATTCTGATGTTTTATTAAAAGCTTCAACACAATTAGGTAATAATAACTTATGAATGAATTGTATTAAAATGCATTCGTTGTTATAGTTAAAGCCATGTGGTAACCATCCATGGATCCCTGAGGGCTATAGGCATTACTACATTTAATATGCATGTATCCAAGGGCAATTTTATACATTTAAGGGTGAAATCGCAACATATTTTTGATCATTCTAATAATGCTATCTTAATTAAAAATGCTATTTTCCTTCTAGTGCATTGCTCTCATTTTTTTTAGATCAGCTTCTATTTCAAGTAGAGATATAAACTGGTATTATCAAACGCGTTTTATTATCTCCAAAAGAGAGATTTATGTACATTTTCCAGCTGCTGCATCCAAAATAAAAGAATATCTCAATGTCTGATGTCACACACAATGCACACTTCTAGATACTTTGGCTGAATGAAAGAGCGCATGACGCCTCACATTCGATGCACTTCCTCATTAATTTTTAATCACCATGCTCACTATGCATGCATCCTCCATTTGAAAACTCCTAAAAAAATGTTTACTGAAGTGGATTTTTTCAACAGGAACGAAAATAATGCGTTAACCAGCACTGCTGCAGCGCATGATAAACTTAATTTGCATATTGGTACAAATGTGGTACTTTTTGGACGGATTTTACAACGAGGAAGTAGATGTGGTCTTACCAAGGTTTCAGCAGGTCACAAGGAACACGACTGATTCTAATATAGTCTGCAGCGGAGCTCTGTCTGTGGCAAAGAAATAAAACATCTTCTCATGCCCAACGGGTTCAAAGCGCTCATTACCAATAGGGCCGCGCAGGAACGCAGCAGAGGGCAGCCAATCGGAGGGCAGCCAATCAGAGGAGAGCATTCAAGAAATCCCCTAAAGACTGCTGGCACTCGGCGTGCGCCGCGCGCATGCGCTGATCATCCTTTCTCGTGCTCCTGATGTGCGCAGATGTCACTTCATCGACTCACCAAACAAACTACCGCCGGAAAGATGATCAGTCATAAAGACAACATAAACTAATCTAAACATAAGTAGGGTTTGTTTTGCGTTTATTTATGCAGAGTCGGTGACGTCTGTTAGAAAGTCCTAATTTAAGGAGGACAGACAGATTCCTGCAGCCACGGTGAGCCTAGGAACTCAAAATGAAACGGACTAAAGGACTGCATAAGAATAAGAAATAAGAGTTCAACCTTAACTTTACTCAGTTCCTGTTCCTCTGATTATTGTTATGATAACAACAGCGGCCTTTCTTCTTCCCTCCATTTTACAGGACAGCCTTTTTTTCCTTCCCCCTTTTTTTCTTTTTCTGTTTTTGATGGAGCCGTGGGAGAAATTAGAGCTACAGGCAGCTCCGTGGGAGAAATTTCTCCCACGCCCTGCACTGAAAAAAAAGATACTTTGTATCAACTTGAAAAAGTTACTGTAATTTGTTACACCTAAATTTATTACTTTGTCTCAAATTAAGTTTCTGATGTGGTTGAAACTGTACATTTTGATTTACTAGAAATATATTTTTTACCTTAAGCCAAAGAAAGAAACTACATTCATACAAAGTAAAACTATAACTTATAACAGATCATAAACAAGTTTTATGCTTTTTTTATAATCTATTTTTTCTATTTGGAAAAATGAAATCTGTACAATTACATACAAGTATAAATGTAATTTGGAATAAAGTAGTGACAAAAATGTAAAACTGTATTTATTTCAAAGAATAAAAACATAATTTTGATCCAACTATATTGACCACAGACAGGATTTATAAGTCATGATAACTTAGTGCTTGACCTTTAGTTGTTAAAAGATCATTAGTTTGATCCTATTTTTTTTAAAGCTAAGTTCCTCTGAGTTTGTACAATCGTTTCCATATGATAACGGAGCAATTTCTCTTGATGACTACAATGCCTGCCCATCATAATCCTTGTTATTCCAAAACTGAGCAGACTGCATTAGTTGGAACAGCTGCCTTGCTCATGGTGGTGCTGTGCTGCTCACACCTATTTTCAATTAGTCAGGTAATGAGGTCACATTCACATGAGTTACAGCACGTGGAAGGATAAATGCCTAGTGACACTATTACCTTTGACTTGAAGTAGATATTTACTTGGAAAATAATTGCTTTAGTTGATTGTTTCTGTGATAAGTGATTTTTAATTCCAGGTAAAGTGAAATTATTGGTTTCAAACCACACATGCATTTTTTAAGTTGAAAAAACATCAACTTTTAAGTTGACCGAATTAAATGGACATTTCACTTCTTTCAGTGTGTTTCCTTTTCTGATTTTCAGAGTGACTGAAACTTTCTTAAAATGTCCATGTCCTCAGAGAGCACAGAGCGCTCTCCCGTTTTGCACACCCCAATGAGGTTAAGTAACTCGGGGACATTTTAATGTCATTTCTCTTACTCAACACGTTTTTTATGTATCACAGAAATGCTGACGGGGGAAAAATAATAACGATTATATGACCAAAAACACCCTCTAACACTCCCTCACCTGCTGTGGGAGGAAGATGATTATATGACACATCATTATGAAATCACAGAGGACCGTGAATGATGCACAGTGTTGGGCACGTTACTTTGAAAAAGTAATTAGTTATAGTTACTAGTTACTTCTCCCAAAAAATAACTGAGTTACCAACTGAGTAACTCTACAATAAAAGAAATTAGTTACTAGTAAAAGTAACAATTAAGTTACTTTTGCGTTTCTCGCCCCCGTAACCCTCACCACCCAGCCCCCACCTTCTCGCCGTGTTTCAAAAGCCAGCTGAACAGAGTGGACGACAAAGACAAGAAACTGCAGAGTTTTGCATTTATTGCAACTCAACGTAAATGACATCGGGGGGACGCAATGTGACGGACCTATAAACCCCGTCAGATACCGTTCCCCCTGCTTTACATGGAGGGAATGGTACCTGATGTGGTGTAAATATCATCAGGCTGCATTACTTCTACTCATGGGTGTGAAGTTTTTTAACAGGGCGTTCAGATCTGGTAAGTGTATGAAATGAATAACAGGGGATGTCTAATTCTGAAATCCTGTGTGTTTGGGTTGTTATAGATACTGCAACATCTATCTATCTATCTATCTATCTATCTATCTATCTATCTATCTATCTATCTATCTATCTATCTATCTATCTATCTATCTATCTATCTATCTATCTATCTATCTATCTATCTATCTATCTATCTATCTATCTATCTATCGATCTATCGATCTATTTATCTATCTAACATTTGATCTTTCACGCTGTTCACGGCTGTTACGCCTTTAGCGAGCATGCCCGTTTCCTGTTGCGTGCTGCCTGCGCTGTGCGGAGATGCTAGGGAAATCGTATCTGATGGGGACCAGGGGCCAGGACATGATCTACAGGGGCACTGGCCCCCGTTGGCCCCTGTCTAGAACCACTCATGGCAGTAATATTCTTAAGGGGAATGTTCAAACTTATTAAACATTTTATTATTTCATATATTAACAATTACTTGACAACTAAAACACCATGCACATCAAAATACTAACATACTAACATTAAAGTTGATATATATAGAATTCATATACTGAAAATTATGTCTCCGTTTGTCATCTAGGAGTCTTCAGTGAAATCATAGATAAATACAGGTAACTACTTTAATAATAGCTTAAACATCCGCTTAATGTAGATATTAGTACATGTAAATATTAATTTTATGCAAAACAATTTTTGATAAAAGTAGGTAAGTAATGAAAAAGATGTTCACCCCAGAAAGTTTGTCCACGATACCTTTTAATTAGACAGTATGGATGTTTAAATATGTGCGTCTGTTTGTTAGCAAAGGCTGTAGGAAAGTTTAGTTTGTCTTTATTTAAAAAAATATGGATGTTGAAACAGTGTAGATTGACTGTGAGGTTCTGGCGCCTATCTGCTTTCGGCCACCCCTCAGTATATATTGGTTTTTGACTGGCCACCCCAGTTAAAATTTTCTGGCTACGCCTCTGCTCAGCGCACCTCAACATGGCAGTCCAGAAAAACTGATGAGCTAGGGAAGGATATAATCAATCAGAGAATGAGTAAAAAGGTCTATGGTGACTCTAAGAGCTGCAGAGGCAGCAGCTCAGGCTGGACATGTGTTTACTCTGCAGATAAGCACCCTCCAAATAACTTCACTGAGGATGGTCAAGATTGTTAAATTGTGGCCAGAAGTCCCATATCCAGTTTGCAACAAACCACACAGCTATAGAACTCTGAGTGGGCCAGTAAGGTAGCAGTCATAGTACATAATCTCTTATAAAGCACAGTGGTGGCCCTATCATGCAGTGGGGAGTCATTATTTAGGTGGTGATTTTTTTTTTTATTCTATGTTCACAAAACATCGCCATCATATTTCAATTAGAATTATTATTTCTTTTTAGCAATAATGATAATAATTAATGCAGAAAAAGTAGATATCCCCAGCAAAAACGTTGTTTTGCAAAGTTTTGGCTTAGGACAGTACTTAATCATACACTTCAATGTGTTAGACTGTTAAATATTTCCTTTTTTTAGATTTGATTTAGATAACAAAAAATAAATAAAAAAAATAATAGAAAGTGAAATAACATAATAAAAATCTGAAAAGTTCAGGAACATCAGAACTATTTATAGGCTCCATACCGCTGGATCCTGTTCACCAACATTCAGGTCTTTTGAAATGAAAAACCTGAATGTTGGATAATCTGATTGTAGAGTTTAAAAAGTAAGTGAAGCCATCCTTACTTACTGCGCCCTCAACATTTCCAACATCATTTGTCCAGATTTGTAGGCAAATAAATCCATTGAGATATTAATGCATAAAAAAAAAAATTATTTTGTCATCGATAGAAAGCTGTCAAACGTAAACATGCCTTAAACATAAGGAGTAATTAGTCATATAATTATAATATATACTTTAATAATAAAATAACCATATTAGTTAAATATTAAAATGTATAGTAATTACACGGAATATTTGATCATTTAAAACAAAAAAGTAAATTTAGCACATAAAAACTTAAATATTTACCATAAAGCATACCATGATAAACAAAATATAGATTCAGGACCCTACACTGATGGTTACTGTAATTTTCGGACTATAAGCCGCGACATTTTCCCCATTTTTCGACCTTGCAGCTTATATAACAATGCGGCTTATCTATGGACTTTTACAGCTAACGGCCACTAGGGTAATACCTGAATCTATTGATTTTACCATCCACCATGTTGATGTCACATTTGCTTCAACACACAAGTACGGTAGCCGCCCTCACATGAATGCGGAGGTCCTCCGGAAGCAGACTTCTACTGCGAGTGGTACGAGACAGAATGACTGCGAGAAAGACGGACATTGCCAGCGCAAGACAGTTTGTGTGACACCCTCATTATGGAAAACAAACGTACCGGTAGAAATAATAAATAGGAGCTTCCCCAAACAGTTGCCTCTTTCCTGATAATCCTCTATGTGCACGAACCATATGGTAATTAAACATAAAAAACCTGCGGCTTATATTCCGGTGCGACTAATAGTCCGAAAATTATGGTAACATTTTTTTTTTCAGTTTATTTTCTCAATCTCTCTTTTTTAAGGATGATAAGTGTCATGATGGGTTTCAAATATTTTGCCCACATGCAGATACACTTCAGAGGCAGGGAAAAGGTTGAACAGTTTATTGACATAATGACACTCAGAGGGACATAAACCAAGGAATCTAGGCTTGGGGAATATCCAGCGGTCAGGTGAACCGGAAATCTAGAGCAGGGGTGTCAAACTGGTTCCAGAAAGGGCCGTCTGGCTGCAGGTTTTCTTTCCAACCAAGCAATAGCACACCAGTTTGACGCCCCTGCTCTAGAGAGAGATCAGAGTGATGAGTTCAAGGTCCATGGGATTTACAGGTTGATATTGAAAACATAGCCAGGAAGGACTCACAATAGATGACTTATGGTAGCTCCTTGGTTCCTGTTTGTGGGGATGAACCAGATAAGGAGATAACTTGCTGGAGAGCGGACAGGCAGACTTGTTTAGGTCCAGAGGAGCAGCGGAGTGGATTGTCAACAAGTTTTCCTGAAGTGGACTGCAAACTGAAGTGGTGGATATTTTCCTTAGTCACAGAGAGACGCATAGATTCCTTCCAAGGATTGAAGGACCAGGCTTATCCAGTTGATCAGGAAATGATCCTGAGACCACAAAAGAGACAAAGGGTTAGATCTTAG